TATATATATATATATATATATATATATATATATATATATGCATATATATATATATATATATATATATATATATATATATATATATATATATATGTATATATATATATATATATGTATATCTATATATATATATCTATATATATATATATATATATATATATATATATATATATATATATATATATGTATATATATATATGTTTGTATATCTAGTAAACGTGCATGCATATAACGTCATACTTTTTCCTCGAACCTGACCGTCATATATATATATATATATATATATATATATATATATATATATATATATATATATATATATATATATATATATATATATATATATATATATATATATGCATATATATATATATATATATATATATATATATATATATATATATATATATATATATATATATATATATATATATATATATATATATATGCATATATATATATATATATATATATATATATATATATATATATATATATATATATATATATATATATATATGTATATATATATATATATCTATGTATATATATATCTATATCTATGTCTATATATATATATATATATATATATATATATATATATATATATATATATATATATATATATGTATATATATATATATATATGTTTGTATATCTAGTAAACGTGCATGCATATAACGTCATACTTTTTCCTCGAACCTGACCGTCATATATATATATATATATATATATATATATATATATATATATATATATATATATATATATATATATATATATATATATATATATATTTATTTATATTTATATATATATATATATATATATATATATATATATATATATATATATATATATATATATATATGTATATATATATATATATATATATATATATATATATATATATATATATATATATATATATATATGTATATATATATATATATATATATATGTTTGTATATCTAGTAAACGTGCATGCATATAACGTCATACTTTTTCCTCGAACCTGACCGTCATTTTTTGCTTAGCTTTTCCTGAGACAAAAGCATCGTTACCAACACTCCCCCAAAATGAAGGACCAAATCCTCCTCTCAGCATTATCATCATCGATTGACTTGTATAAAAGAAATGTTATGTCATCATATTCCAGTTTAAGTTGGTTTTGTTAGTTTTTAAAATAGGTCTTTGGTTTTGTCATTCTCTCGTTCGCTTTTTGCCTCTCTGTCTCTGTCTAGCTGTCTGCTTATATATCTCTGTGTCTGTAAAGTTTTCTATCAGTCTATATACCTGTTTTTTTTGACTGCCTTTGTATATTTATCTATCCGTCTATGTATCTATATCTATATCTATCTGTCTATCTATCTATCTATCTATCTATCTATCTATCTATCTATATATCTATCATGTAGGAATATATATGTATATATATGTATGAGACAAGTATATATATAAATATATATATATATATATATATATATATATATATATATATATATATATATATATATATATATATATATATATATTTATATATATATATATATATATATATATATATATATATATATATATATATATATATATATATATATATATATATATATTTATATATATATATATATATATATATATATATATATATATATATATATATATGTATATATATATATATATATATATATATATATATATATATATATATATATATATATATATATACATGCTTCTCTCTCTCTCTCTCTCTCTCTCTCTCTCTCTCTCTCTCTCTCTCTCTCTCTCTCTCTCTCTCTCTCTCTCTCTCTCTCTCCCCCTCTCTCTCTCTCTCGCCCACTCGTCCATAAGACATATTCATCCCATTCCGCATTCATCATACAGATAATCATCCTAATTACCGCACACGCCCTCGGCACGCCACACACTGCCGGCGGAAGGCTCCTTAACGCCTTGGAAATGTAATCTCGTTGGGGCCAATTTCCCTTCTCCTCGTCCACATCCTTTTTCTTCTTCCTTCGTACCTCTTCTCTCTTCTCTCTTTTCTCTTCTCTCTTCTCTCTTCTCTCTTTTCTCTTTTCTCTTTTCTCTTCTCTCTTCTCTCTTTTCTCTTTTCTCTTCTCTCTTCTGTCTTCTCTCTTCTCATCCCCCTTTCTGTCCCTTGTCCTCTGCTTTCTCTTCTTCTTTTTTTCCTCCTCCTTCACTTTTTCATTTCTCCTTCCTCTTTCTCGTCTTCTTCCTCCTCTTCTTTTTTTCTTCCTCCTCCTCCTTCTTCATCTTCTTTTTTATTTTTATTTCTTTCTATTTCTATTTTTATTTTTATTTTATTTTATTTTTATTTTTAATGTTATTTTTATTTTTTTTTCATTTTATTTTTTTTTTTTTTTTGCCTTTTCTTTTTCTTTTGTTTTTCTTTTCTTTTTTTTTCTTTTTTCTTTTTCTTTTTCTTTTATTTTCTTTTTCTTTTTCTTTTTTTTCTTATCTTTTTCTTTTCTTTTTCTTTCTTCTTCTTCTTCTTCTTCTTCTTCTTCTTCTTCGTCTTCTTCTTCACTTCCGTCCCCTCCTCTTCATTATCATCCTCTTCCTCCTCCTCCTCCTCCTCGTCGCTGTCGTGGTCTTCTTCCTCTTCTCCTTTTTCCTCCTCTTCTTCTTTTCCATTCCATCCCTCTCCTTTCTTCCGATCCTCTTCCTCCTCCTCCTCTTCCTCTTTCTCCTCTTCTTCCTCCTCTTCTTCTTTTCCATTCCATCCCTCTCCTTTCTTCCGATCCTCTTCCTCATCCTCCTCTTCCTCTTTCTCCTCTTCTTCCTCCTCCTTCTCCTCCTCCTCCTTCTCTTCCTCTTTCTACTCTTCTCCCTCCACCTTCTCCTCCTCTTCCTCCTCTTCCTCTTTCTCCTCTTCTCCCTCCTCCTTCTCCTCCTCCTACTAATCCTAATCCTCTTCTATCTACTTCTCCCTCTTCCCTTCTTCCCGTTCCTTCCCTCTCTCCCCAATCAATTCCCTCTATCCTTACCTCTTTTTCTACATCATCTCTCCCGCTTCCCTATCCTTCCTCTCCTCTCCTCTCCTTCCCTCCTTTCTTCTTTTCCTCCACTTCCCCTCTGACCCTTTACCCTTCTCCCTCCCTCCTCACCTCCTCCCTCTGCCATCGACTTCCTCCCTCTCTCCTTCGCTCCTTTTCTCCCTCTCCCTCTCCCTCTCCCTCTCCCTCCCTCCTCACCTCTTCCACTCTTTGTACCTATCCCCCCCTTCTCTCTGTACGACCCCCCCTCCCCCAGCTATTGACAGCGTAGTAAGTCTCTGCTGAAACCAGATCCTTTAGCCATTAATTGAACCAATCGAGCTAAAATAAAAATAAATAAATGAATAAATAAATAAGTAAATAAACAGGTTCATTTTTCTTTTTTTTTGTCTTTTCTGGAAGTCTATGCTTCTTTCAGCTTTCTTTTTTTATCTTGGATATTGCTCTTGCTTTCTCTCATTAGAAGTGAGAGAAAGAATGATTTGAAAGGAATAAAAGGCTTTTGGATTTTTTTTTAAATCTTGTGCCTGATTTTATTTTTGTGTTTGTGAAAGTGATGATTTTTTTTATTGTTTACACTGTATATGTTGTTGTTGTTTTTCTATGATCCACGTGTTACGTTTCAATTATTCTATTTCTAGAACAGTTCGCTTAAAATGATATACTTATCAATCTAAACCAGTTATATAAAAACAGTTCAATTTCCAGCCCATTTGTTCGAGGAAAATATATATTGGAAATAGGCCAGCCGGTTTTCAGAGTGAGTGGCTCGTGGAAATAGACTGTGTATCGATATAAATGTTGTTTTTTTTTCCTCTTCTCTCTCAAATTATATTTAGTGCATATCATTCTACTCCGGAGAGGAGCTGAGAGTAACGAGGTTAGAAAACGAAAGAGAGAGAGAGAGGAGAGAGAGAGAGAGAGAGAGAGAGAGAGAGAGAGAGAGAGAGAGAGAGAGAGAGAGAGAGAGAGAGAGAGAGAGAGAGAGAGAGAACTAAAAATATATAGGAATATTCGGTGCATGCAAGGTAATGTAATTATGCTTAATCCCCCCAAACAAGTTTTCCAACAAGGAAACTCCGTAATTATATTCACCTGGGCGATATTAATCCCTCGAACGAATAGATAAAGGACTTAATTTTCAGGGTTTTTTTTCTTCTTCTCGAACATCGAAAGTAATCGGAAATCTACAAACTTATGAAGAAAAAGAAGTCTAGTATGAAAGCTCGCATAAAACACACACGACTACGCTGACAAGAGAGCACGCCGGTCGCGCAAACACAGTACACAAACACTTGTCAAAATGCATGTATTTCTCACGCACACAAGCGCCAAGCACTTTCGCAAACTCATTAAACTTTAGGTCGATTATACGAAGTCTTCAGGTCATGCCAAAGGGAAGGGAAGAGAGAGGGAGGAACGAAAAAAATGAAAGCTGTTGCATAATACTGTTCATCACGAAACATTAGGTTCAAAGATGTTTTCTTTCGCTTGCTTGGGGAATCTCTGTTAAGATTATTGTTATTAAATTTCGTTCTTGAAGTCTTCATTAAGGCTGAAAGGAAACTGAGGCTGTTAAAGTGAGGAAGACAAAGGCGGAGGAGGAGGAGGTGGAGGAGGAAGAAATGAAGTGGAAAAGGGTGAAGGAAAAAGATCAGGAGAACGAAGTGAGGAGGAATAGGAGGAAAAAAGAAGAGAAGAAGGAGGAGGGAAGTTAGGAGGAGTAGTGAGGGAGATTAAAAGAAAAGGATACTAAATGACATCGATGATAAGAACAAGGATAAGATAAGTGAAGAGGAGGAGAGAAAGGAGATTGAAAGGGGAGGAGGAGGAGAGAAAGGAGATTGAAAGAGGAGGAAGAGAGAAAGGAGATTGAAAGAGGAGGAAGAGAGAAAGGAGATTGAAAGAGGAGGAGGAAGAGGCGCCGAACGATAAGTGACATTAACCAATCCGTTCTAACTGAACCCCCATCGGTTGCAGGTCCGGCCGCACATGGGACTGACCTTCGAGAATATCTTGTCTCACATCAACACCATCTACGTCCTGAGAACAAGGGAAGCGCTCATCACCACCCGTGGCGACAACCGTGACTTAGGCTCCGACCAGGGCTGCCTCAGACTCAAGGTACGTACGCATTCGGACGAGTGTGTGTGTGGGGGAGGGGGGGGAGGGAGAGGGGGTAGGGAGGGATTTCTTCTTTCATTCGCCTAGATTTTGACTTTTTTTTTAAGGTTTTAGAGAATATGCTTAATGGAGTCTCGAGGGGGAAACGTCTGAGCTTTTAGAGTGATAGCGGGGAATTCAGGATGTTCCCGCCATTTTGAAATCCAGGACGGAAGAATGGGTTTGAATTAAGGGAAGAGCTGAGGCGGTGGTCTTCACTCTGTGCGTGGAAGCGTACACATACACTCACACGCGCGCACACGCACACACACGTACGCACGCACACTAATACATAAATACACACGCACACACATAAATACACACGCACACTCACACGTATATACGCGCATACACACACACACACACACACACAAACACACACACACACACACACACACACACACACACACACACACACACACACACACACACACACACACACACACACACACACACACACACACCGCCCCTCCCCTCCCCTCCCCTCCCCTGACCCCCCTCCGCGTCCCCAGGGCCAGATGATCTACCTTCCCGAGACGGAGCTGATGCTGTACGTGTGCTCGCCCTCCGTCCTCAACCTGGACGACCTCTACCGCAAGGGCCTCTATCTCTCGGACATCCCCCTCCACGACGCCACTCGAGACCTCGTCCTCCTCAGCGAGAAGTTCGAGGCCGAGTACAACCTCACGACGAACTTGGAGATTTTGACCGATAAGCTTCAGCACACTTACCGCGAGCTGGAGAGCGAGCGACAGAAAACGGATAAGTATGTCGGGCTAACTTCGATATGTGAGGAGTTGTTCTATTTATATATATATATATATATATATATATATATATATATATATATATATATATATATATATATATATATATATATATATATATATAGATATAGATATAGATATAGATATATATATATATATATATATATATATATATATATATATTTATATATATATATATATATATATATATATATATATATATATATATATATATATATATATATATATATATATATATTCTCTTTTTTCTTTTCTGTCAGGTGGAAACTTTTTTCTTGGTTTTTAATTAAAGAAATGGTAACAAATTTTTGAATTATAAGGATAATAAACAAAGTAAGAATGAGAACGTAGATTTTTTTTTCAAAATGCTTCCATGCAGGAATCTTTCATCATAGTACAGTGTAAAAAAAGTAAATACTAATTCAAATTATAAAAATGTTTCTCCTTTCTTTCAAATCGAAAGGCTCTTGTATTCCGTCCTGCCCATCAGCATTGCCAACGAGCTCCGACATAAGCGCCCTGTTCTCCCACGCAGATACGAGGTGGTAACACTGCTCTTTTCCGGTGAGAATATTTTGTTGTTGTTGTTGTTATCTCATATATGTAGAAATGAAATTAGCTGAATGCAGCAAAGCAGATATATATTAGGAGCATATCGTAGATTGATATATATATGTGTGTGTGTGTGTGTGTGTCTGTGTGTGTGTGTGTGTGTGTGTGTGTGTGTGTGTGTGTGTGTGTGTGTGTGTGTGTTAGGGTCTCTTGACTGTTATACTTCATATACTTGCGCCGAGATTTGTGATATATTCATAAAATATTATCTAATTATATATTCATGGCTCCCTTTGAGGGACTGTAAAACCAAAATGTATTTGTTTACACTTTATTTCTATTTGAAAACTCGTCTTTCCTCCACAGTTAGTAGATCTGAAGTTCTTTTTATAGCGCAATATAAACGCACTTGATTATACCAACAGTTTCAGTTTAGGCTTTTAAAATTGCTCTTTGTTCTTGTATTTGTTTATTTTTGAAGTTGTTTGCCTTCTTCCTTCGTGTTCTTGTTCATAATTGTTGTTTATCTTGTTTGGTCTCGCTCTTGTTTGTTCTTGTGTTTGTTTACTTTCTTCTTTAGTCCTCCCTTTCGTTCTATACTCTGCGTTCTCTCTCTATCTATCTGTCTATCTATCTATTTTTTTTATCTCTCTCTCTTTCTCTCTTTCTCTCTCTCTCTCTCTCTCTCTCTCTCTCTCTCTCTCTCTCTCTCTCTCTCTCTCTCTCTCTCTCTCTCTCTCTCTTTCTCTCTATCTCTTTCTATCTCTTTCTCTCTCTCTCTCTCTCTCTCTCTCTCTCTCTCTCTCTCTCTCTCTCTCTCTCTCTCTCTCTCTCTCTCTCTCTCTCTCTTTCGTTCTATACTTAGCGTTCTCTCTCTCTCTGTCTATCTATTTTTTTTATCTCTCTCTCTCTCTCTCTCTCTCTCTCTCTCTCTCTCTCTCTCTCTCTCTCTCTCTCTCTCTCTCTCTCTCTCTCTCTCTCTCTCTTTCTACCTCTACCTCGCTCACTCTCTTGTTTTCTTTTCTTTCTTTCTTACTTCTTTTTCATTTTTCATTCTTTATTTTGTCGAGGCAACAATAAACTGACGCAATAGAAAATGTAAAGACATTGCAGACATATGGTCATCACTTATTTCAACAATCGAACTTTTTTTATTCTTCTTCCTTCTCGCCTTCTCTTCTCTTTCCTATCAAGGTCTTACTCTTTTC